TTTCTTCCTTCAATACCATTGGTTCTTGGTCATATGCCACCTCCTGAAATGGATGAACATCGACCAATTCTTTTTGGTACAGTGACTCTGTATTCCTTCCATCTTCTTATGTGTCCTGCATCATTCAATATTTTGCCTATAGAATCTTTCAATATTGCAATTCGAGCCTTAAAGTTTTTCTTCGATTCTTTCAGCTTGAGAAATGCCAAGCATTGTTTTCCCTTTTGGTTTTCTAACTCCAGGTCTTTGCACATTTCATTATAATAACTGACTTTGTCTTCTCGAGCTGCTCTTTGAGATGTTCTGAACAGCTCTTCTATCTTGTCATTTCTTCCATTTACTTTAGCTACTCTCCATTCAAGGGCAAGTTTCAGAGTCTCTTCTGACATCCATTTTGGTCTTTATTTCCTTTCCTGCCTTTTAATGACCATTTGCTTTCTTCATGTATGACATTTTTGATGTCATCTCACAACTTGTCTCGTTTTTGGTCATTGGTTATTTTTCAAATGGTCTCTAAATTCAGGCAGGATATAATAAAGGTCTATTTTGGCTCTCATGGAATTGTTTTAACTGTCTTCAGCTTCAACTTGAACTTGCATATGAGCAACTGATGGTCTGTTTCACTGGCAGCTCCTGGCTTCATTCTGACTGAAAATATTGAGCTTCTCCATGGCCTTTTTCCACAGAGGTAGTCAATTTAATTCCTGTGCATCCCATCTGGGAAGATCCATGTGTACAGCCACGATTTTTGTTGTTGAAAAAAGGTATTTGCAACGAGTAAGTCATTGGTCCTGCAAAATTCATCATGCAATCGCCGGCATCATTTCTACCAATAAGACCATATTTTCCAACTACTGGTGATTCTTCTTTGTTTCCAACTTTCACATTCCAATCACTAGTAATAATCAATACATCTTAACTGTATGTTTGGTCAACTTCAGACTGCATAAATTGGTAAAAATCTCCAATGTCTTCACCTTTGGCTTTAGCAGTTGGTGTGTATTTTTGAATTTGAGTAACAAGAATAATTTGATTAACAGTAGTATTAACTGTAGGTGTATAGATATTAACCTATCACTGACAGCACTGTGCTTCTGGATAGATCTTGAAACATTCTTTGTGATGATGAATGCCACGCTACTCCTCTTCAATTTGTCATTCCTACCATAGATCTGATGGCTGTCTGATTCAAAATGTCCAAAAACAGTCCATTTTAGCTCACTAATGTCTAGGATATTGATCTTTGTGTATTCCATTTAATTTTTGACAACTTCTAATTTATCTAGATTCATACTTTGTACATTCTGCATTCTGATTACTAATGGATGTTTGCAGCTGTTTCTTCCCATTTTGAGTCATGTTTCATCAGCCTTTACTCCACCTATGTCATTAAGGTCAACTCTACTTTGAGGGCGCAGCTCTTCCCCAGTCTTATTTTGAGTGCCTTCCAAACTGAGGGGCCCATCTTCCAGCACTGTACCAGATAATTTTGCAGGGCTACTCATAAAATTTTTCAGTAATGTAACAGACAGTGTTTCACTGCTATTCATAAGGTTTTCACTGGCCAACTCTTTGAGCAGTGGATGGCCCCTTCCTTCTTCTGAGTCTGTCTTACTCTGGAAGCTCTGCTGAAATCCATCCACCATGGGTGACCCTGCTGGTATTGAAAGGTGGCATAGCCTCCAGCCTCACAGTAACACCCAAGCCACTACAGTACAACAAACTGACAGACAAGTGTTGGTTACTATGATGAACAAAATACACCAATCACAAAAGGACAAATATTGTATGATCTCACCTATAAAAAGATAAGAAAAAGTAAATATACAGAGACCAAAGTTTATTAGTGGTTAACAGGAGCAGAACGGATGGGAAAAAGGGGGATTAACAATGACAGAAAA